TAAGCCAGGAAGTCAGGAGCCCTGCCTCAGGAACACCTCGCCTGCCATTGCATGCCTGTTCTGCACAACTCTGGATGTGGTCGGGGAGTGACAGGAAGGCTTCCAGATGGTGCGGGTCCCCATTGCCCCACTAAAGTCATCGCAGGGATATTTCTAACCACCCCTACCCTGCTCCACATCCGTGGGTAGGAAGCACCCGGTAGTCCTGCTTCCTCACTTCCTTCTCCATCCCCTCCATCCTCAAGAACGGAAGGCCAGTCCTGCCACCGTTTTTCTTGCTACTTGCCCAGCATGACCCTATGGAAACCAGGACATGCTACCCCAGGCCGGTTCCTTGCCAGCCAAAAGAATTTAGACAATTGTCCCTCCAGGCAAAGTGTAGCTTTCCAGCCTACTCCGTTGCTGGGAAGTCAGACAGAAGTCCAGTTGATGGTCAGAGCCGGGCAGTGACTTGCCCAGTGTGGAATGACTGCAGTGGGTGAAGCCCCAGGGCCACAGGATGTGGGCTGAAGAAAGAGGTCTGACACTGTTTCAAATATTTTCTGCCATTCACACATTCCTTTAATACCATTTACAGGGAGGCCCTGAGTTAGTACTTAAACACCTCTTGACAACTTTTTAACAACAGCTTCATTAAGATGCAATTGACACACCATATAATTCACTCTTCGAAAGTGTACAATTCAATGGTTTTTTAGTACATTCACAGAGTTGTACAACTACCATCACCGTCTAATATCAGAATATTTTCATCATCCCCCAAAGAAATCCCATCCCCTTCGCAATCACACCCCAGGCTCTCCACTCCCAGCTCCTGGCAACAACTCCCAATCTACTTCCCATCTCTATGGATGTAATTCAGAGATTTCAGGTCCCTGGGATCGTACAATATGTCGTCCTTTGTGATTGGTTTCTTTCGTGTTACATAATGTTTTTAATATTCCTTCACATTGTATCATATATCGTACTTCATTTCTTTTTATGGCTGAATAACACTCTATTGTAGGGAGACACCACATTTCATTTATGTATTCCTCGTCTGATGAACCTTTTGGCTATAATGAACTGTGCTGGGATGGATATTCATGGACAAGTTTTGTGTGGATATAGATTTCAAGTCTCCATATCTAGGAGTAGGATTTCTGGTAATTCTGCTTAACATTTTAAGGAGCTGCCAATCTCCTTTCCACATTCAACATTCCCACCAACGATGGGAAGGATTCCATTCGACATTCCCACCAACGATGTATAAGGATTCCAATCTATGTCTTCTCTAACGTGTTATTTGTTGGTTTTTGTCTGCTTTATTT